CACCCCTGCCAGGCTCTCGCTCAGCCACCCCCGCAGGCTCCTTGTCCCTGTCCACTCTCCCCACTCCTCTGCTGGGGTGGCTCAGAGTCAGAGCCAGCTTCCACCCCCCGGGGGTCCTTAGCAGCAGGGGAGAGACTCTCCCTGTTCCCAGTCCAGCCCCTGGACCCAGCTCAGCCCACCGCTGCAAGTGCAGGGAAAGGCCTGCTCAGGCCAGGCAGGCATGCCCCCTGCAGACGGACTCTTGGGGGCATTCAGCGGGGACACGGGCGCAGCTCTACTCGGCCCCTGGGTCCGACGGGGGCAGAGTCTCCCCCGGGATCTCAGCTCATCAGCTGCAAAGCGCTGCTCCAGCGCGGAGCTGTCCGCACGCCAGGCAGTCGCGCCACCGTTCCGGGCTCTCGGGGGCTGCGTTCTGGGAAGCGGCTGATGCCGAGGCGGCGTGGAACGGAGAATTAACCGTGGCCCTTTACACTTTCCCCTCCCTGGCCTAGGGGGCGTTTCCACTGCAGCGGGGACCTGTGCTAGCAGAGCCATGCAGGCGGCTGGGCCGGTTTGGCGGGGGTGGCTCGCCCAAGCTGCGGCCATGCTGCCCGGCTTGTGAACCGCACACAGCAAGCGCCCTCCCGCTGCAGCGTGGCCATGTCCTGAACACAACACGCTGGGCAGCCCCCAGGCACGACACACAATCCCTCCAGCCGCCGGCGGAGTGCGGACTCCTGGGACTCGACATGGCACAGTTCTGTCTCCTGGTCACTTTCTGACCCACCAGAGACCCTCGCCTCCCACCCCACGGCTACTTCGTTTCCTTAGCTCCTCCTGAGCAACTTGGAAGGCAAAATCAAGGCTGCCAAACCCCTCTCTCCACTGCCCTTGAGATACGCTGGGAGGGCTCTGCTAGGCACAAGGTACAACCGGCCTTGGCAGACCCCTCGCAGGGCCCAGCCTCAGACTAGCCTGGTCTATCAGCTTCTTTGCACTTCAACCTACATGCCGAGTGCGAGCGGTAACCCCTCCCTCTGCGCAGTACCTGGCTCTAAATGGCACATGCGTGTTAGCAGCTCCGCCCTTCAGCCTTGCATTCCTCCAGATCGCGGGATCTATCGCTGGGGGCTCCTTAATTGATCAGTTCATTCCAGCCCCTCCTCTTTTGACACCTCAATGCCCCAGACCAGCAGGTACATCTCCCTAAACATCTGCTGGGGCGAAGGTCCCTAGGGCCCCAGTTCAGCAAAACCCTTCAGCAGAGACTTCATTGTTAAGCATGGGCTTAGTTCCACTGAAGTCATAGGGACATGAGCAGGCATTTCATTGCACAGCTGGATCAGGGGTTAAATCCCCTCTCCTCCACGTCTCCCTCCATTCCCTGCTGGCCCAGCCAACCCCCCAGCTCTGTCCCAGGCCTCCTGCTTCTGACAGACTGACAGGACTGAGCTTTCTGCTCTTCCGTGCCCGCCTCTACCTCCTTGATTTCCGCCTCGCGCTTTCCTGCTCTTGTGTGCGCGCCTTCCCCTTGGCTTCCCAAGGGGTCCCACTTCTACCTGGCCGACGAATGAACTGACTTCTAGCCTGCCTGGTTGTTGCAGGCGTCTGGGACTTTCCTGCCTGGTGAAGGAGTCTCTGGCGTGAGGTTAAGGGAGCCGAGAGGAGGCCCCTGCCCAACACACTCACTTTTGCTTCTCTGCCTTGTACTGCTGCGTGCAGTCATCAAACAGCTTTTGGTTCATCTCCATGAACAGCTTCAGCGCGTTGTAGATCAGGCCATGGATGGTCCTGCAAAGAAGGCAGAAGGGGGACAGTGGGTCACAGGGGACGTCGAGGGGTTTGGGAGGGGGACCGACGCCGCTTCTGCTCACAGGAGCATGACCGGAGCCTTCCCCGTGGCCCCAGCGCGCCGAGTGAAACAAGCAGAGACCCGAGCCCATTCTATTGTTCCGCCGGGGGCATGGAGCCATGGGCAGGCTCTCTTCGCCGTGGCGGAGTTGGGGGTTCCCAACAGAGACGCCAGCAGGCAACCCCCGGGGCCTTTGCTACTGGGCATCACATAGTCCGAGAAGCTAGAGAGGGAAGCAGCCAGGGGCCAGCTCACGGATTTGTCCAGCCCAGTTTTAAAGCTGCATGTGATGGGGTTGGCAACGCACCAGCCAGACTGTTTGATTTCCCCACATGGCTTCACTCATTTACTCAGTTACTGCGAACAGCAGCTGCTGCAGCAGCAAACTGGCGCGTACGTCGAACTAGCAGAGCAAGCCATCTCCGCCCCTCGTGCCAACGCCTGCATTGTGTCACGCCTGGTCCACGCCGCGCCGAGAGCTCCTGGCGGGGATGAGGGCTGGTCTGAAAGCGCTGGGAAATCAGAGCAGACTGAAATGGGGCCCCGACGCAGCCCGAGCGAGGAACCGACGGGCCGGACGTCCTGCGCTCTGGCTGCCGTAAGTCACCTCACCTCTCTGCGCTCCCTCCCCGGCCGCGGAAGGACCCTCGCTGCTAATGGACTTTGGGGACAGTTTGCAAGAAAGGCACAGCTCCTAAGTTTTATTTTCGGCCGCACGGACTGAGTGAGCTGGGGGAAGGAAGGGCAGAATCTCTGTCCCTCAGCCCACCCTGGGACAGTAAGGGAGGCAGAGAGAGAGATGGGGGGAGCAGGAGCTGTAGAAAAATGCCATCACAAACTGGAAACAGGCAGAACAGAGGACCGGGTCGGTCCTGCGCCGCCCCCAGGAAAGCACGAGAAAGCAGACGAGGGGGAGGATCCGCCAAAGGAGAAGAGACACCGAGAGCTACCGATGCTTAGGAAATGTTCTACACGCAGCAGAAAACGGCTCCGTTAGGTGGGACAAAGCACGTTTCTGAAGCATGCTGGGAAAACACCACGAGGAGTGTGAGGGGAGAGTATGGGTCTGACCGCGAGGCCGCCCTGGCTATTTCCTTGCCTGCTGGTGAGTGCCGCATTTCCCGCACGCAAAGGGAACAAGGCCTGTGCCTCTTGTTGACGCTCTATGGCGAAGATGCGAGAGGAAAGACAACGGTTTGCAAAGCTTTTATTCCGCAGCCAATGTCTCTGCTTCACGCTGAAGCCCAGCTCCGTCCAATCGCCCCCTCGACTGCCTTAGAAGGGCCCTCGTTTTGCCTCTCAGTGCACAGGAAAGGCCTGGGTGCCAGGGGAGAGAAGGGTTTTGGGGGGAGAGGGGCTTTTCTGTCTTCTCTCCCCCCCGAAATTTCAGGCAATACCCCCCTTCCCCGGCTGCAGGGCCCAGCCTGAGCGTCTGCACAGCTACTTGTGACACTGTCGTGCAAGCCGGAGCTCTGAGGCTAACTGGCGCAGGTTTCTGCTGGGCAGGCGGATGTACCTGAGTGTGGGCGGGGAGTTCCCTAACCCATTCACCAAAGCGACAGGGTTCAGTCGGAACTCTGAGCCAGCAAAGAGCGGGCTGTGGGAGCGTCACGAGAGGATCAGGTGACAAGCAGCACACGGTCTCTTGGGTGGTTTTCTCCCACTGCTCCCCCTCTCACACCTGGCAGCTGGAGACACGGGTCCAGGGCATTCGCCAGCGTCTTCGTTCAGCCCTGGCGGCTGCCGACGCCTCCTGATCCACAGCTTGAGATCCACGACTAGACAATCCCGACACGCCTACCAGGCAACTCAGCAGACTGACTGGGCTAGCCAAACAGCCCCAAAGGCTGTACAACAGCTGGCCAAAATGCTGGGGGCTGCTTGGGTCTTTTGGTTGTAGTACACCATCCCCGTGGTGTGCGAGCACCGCGCCTCCTCCCTGCCCCACGGCCACCAGCAGGCCTGGGCTCCGCCGGGTGCCCGCACACGCACACCCGACGGCCCCCGGACACACAGAAGGGACCTACTTGTTCCAGTGACTCTTGGAATTCTTGTAGAGGGCCGGGAACATGATGGGGAGGATCCTGGCGGCGTTGTCGCTGATCAGGCTCATGATGTACTCGTTGTTCCAGTAGTACAGCGCCCGCTCGGCCACCTGCGCAAGGGGGGAAGCAAAGCTCTGCTGAGGCTCCTTGCAGACGGGTCAGAGGGCGCATGTGAGAAGTCAGCCAACACCGGCCGGGCGCCAGTCAGCCCAGGAGCAGATCTGCCAGCGCTCCAGGGAGCGGCTTGTCTTTGCCACCTCTGGCAACGGGTCCTCTGCCCGGAGCGAGCCAGGCTGGAGCCCCGTTCTCTGCTAGTTACATTCTGCTGCATCGACACCGAGAGCTTTGCCCTTGGGGCGTCTCGTTCGGTCCCAGGGCCTCAACTCCTACGGTTATACTGACGACTTGCCAGTCGGTCACATCAACAAGTCTTCCTCCAACCCTGCTGCCTCCGGGCAAAGCTCAGCAAGGGCTAGCAATGGACTGGACTCGCCAGCCCTCCCTGTCCAACGGGGCGCCCCTGGGTTCTCACCGCCTCCTGTCCTTCCAAACATGGCTAAGCATGGCCATTCGGCCTGTCCCCCACTGGTCTCCCTACGCTCCCCGGACCACCCTACACCGCTCACGAGGCTAGGACTCCCCCCGGACCACCCTACACCGCTCATGAGGCTAGGACTCCCCCCCGGACCCTCCTACACCGCTCACGAGGCTAGGCCCCCCCCCGGACCACCCTACACCGCTCATGAGGCTAGGACTCCCCCCCGGACCCTCCTACACCGCTCACGAGGCTAGGCCCCCCCCCGGACCACCCTACACCGCTCATGAGGCTAGGACTCCCCCCCGGACCCTCCTACACCGCTCACGAGGCTAGGCCCCCCCCCGGACCACCCTACACCGCTCATGAGGCTAGGACTCCCCCCCGGACCCTCCTACACCGCTCACGAGGCTAGGCCCCCCCCCGGACCACCCTACACCGCTCATGAGGCTAGGACTCCCCCCCGGACCCTCCTACACCGCTCACGAGGCTAGGCCCCCCCCCGGACCACCCTACACCGCTCATGAGGCTAGGACTCCCCCCCGGACCCTCCTACACCGCTCACGAGGCTAGGCCCCCCCCCGGACCACCCTACACCGCTCATGAGGCTAGGACTCCCCCCCGGACCCTCCTACACCGCTCACGAGGCTAGGCCCCCCCCCGGACCACCCTACACCGCTCATGAGGCTAGGACTCCCCCCCGGACCCTCCTACACCGCTCACGAGGCTAGGCCCCCCCCCGGACCACCCTACACCGCTCATGAGGCTAGGACTCCCCCCCGGACCCTCCTACACCGCTCACGAGGCTAGGCCCCCCCCCGGACCACCCTACACCGCTCATGAGGCTAGGACTCCCCCCCGGACCCTCCTACACCGCTCACGAGGCTAGGCCCCCCCCCGGACCACCCTACACCGCTCATGAGGCTAGGACTCCCCCCCGGACCCTCCTACACCGCTCACGAGGCTAGGCCCCCCCCCGGACCACCCTACACCGCTCATGAGGCTAGGACTCCCCCCCGGACCCTCCTACACCGCTCACGAGGCTAGGACTCCCTCCTGCCCTGCTCCACGGAGCCTGTGCCCTCTCCTCCTCACGCTATGCCTTCACGGCACACTGAAGCCAGGGGCCTGGACTCGTGTCCCGGCCTACCCCAGGTGCGAGCCGCTCCACGGCAACGGCCCATCTGTGTCACGGTGCCCTCGCGGTTTCTGCACTCACCCCCGTGTGCCCAATGGGACAGCCCCCGGGTCTTTATCAGAGACACTCAGAGTCCGTCAATGGTGGGAGAACCCGTCCGTCCACAGTGGGACCGTGGGAGGCATTGGGGGACTAGGCTCCAGCTGGACTTCACGGGAGCTCAGGTCCTAACCCACCTCTGCAGCGGAGTAAGCCAGCCCAGGGTTAAAGCACCAGCAGACCCGGGAGAGAGGCTGGCTGTGTGGCTGCAAGCAGACCTAGTGCTAGAACTCATGTAAGGGCCTGGCTTACCTGTGCAGGGAAGATTTAGCCAAGGGGGAGCACGTCAGCAACAGGCCCACAGCCCCCACCCCTCCTTCAGGGAAGAGAGAAGCAGCCTTTTCTCAGAAACCCTGCAAACAAACCCGAGCTGAGCTGAGCCAACGGCTCTGTCGCGCCAGGTCCCGGCACAGCCCCCACCGGCAGTCAGAGACTTAAGGCTCAAAGGTAACACTGTGGTCAGTGGGCTGGGACGCCCAGTAATCCCTGCTCTGTGTTGAGCTAGAGAGAGTCTTGGAGAGACACATCCGGTCCTTGGACTCGGAGCAATGGAGAACCCACCAGCCCCCGAGGGAAGCTGTTCCAATGGTACTGACCCTCACCGGTTTTAAAGGGAGAGAGAGAGAAGAGCTTTATTTCTAGTCGGAACGTATCTAACTTCGCTTCCGAGCCACCCTAGCTCGGTATGCCCTGACAGATTAACAAGCCAGCTGCTGGTCACCTCTTCCCCGCAGGCACAGCCTGTGGCCACGTTAACGCGACGGCTGAGATGAACAGCCTATTTCCGTAAGGCAGCATCTTCCTCACAGATCTTCCCCCCTCTACTCCCTACCCCCCGCCCGTACGGCCGAGAATCCCACTCGCCCTCTTGGCCCACAGCACTGCACTAGAAGCCCACGCTCAGATGGATTTCCATCACGTCCCTACGCCCTGTCCAGAGGCCCTGCCCTCCAGGGCCCAGGCGCCCATGCTGTCAGTGTGGCCTCCAGCCTTAGCACCCAGCATCTGACTGTATTAAAACGTGCGTTGCTCAATGAACCCAGGCGACCGAGCGGTCCCGGTCGCTCTGTGCACTAGATCTGCCCTTTTCTTTAGCTGTATCACCCATGTGGGAGTCGTCCCCAAGCCTGACCAGCAATGACTCGACAGTTTCCCGGGGCGCTCGATGCTAACGGTGCTGCCGAGCACTGGGCAGAGGACTGACTGCGGACAGACCCCGTCCGAGGGTTCCCTGTCAGCGAGTCAATGTGGAAGCCGTTTACGACGGGCTGCAGTGACTGCACAGTGCCAGGCCTTATTAGGGGGGACTAAATCAAACGGCTCCCAGAAATCTAATCATTTTACGTCAAGACAAGTACCTTTGTCCGTCAAACTCATAGCACCATACAAAGCCTACCCGACACTACGGCAGCCAGTCCCATTTCCCACGGCCCATGGAGCCGGGCATTACTTAGCTGAATTCCTGCAGGGCCTGACGCATGCCTGCTTTTGCGGGGAATCTCCCTCTGTGGTGAACGGTGGAGGGCAGGGATTACTCTATGGCACGCATCACGCCAATGGCAAACAAGAGGAATGCAGAGGAAGGGTGTGGGGAGGGCAGCCGCGGAGTGCAGTGCCTCCCAGCTGTGTGGACATCTGCACCTTCACCTGCTCTCCTGGGGGGTCCCTAAAATGGGGTCAGGTGGCCCTGCCGATCTCCCATCCTCCCGCCCCGCTCTACTCCTCTTCTAGCTGCACAACGGAGGACGTGGTGCCCCAAAGCCAGGCAGTGCAAGGTCTCTCTGGTGCAGGCATGCAACACTGGGAATACACAGCAGGGCAGAGCGCCTCATTGGCCAGCCATCCCCCAGTGCCATGGACAAGTCGACAAGCCGATCTCAGGACCTGGGCACAGTAACTCAGGGACAGGAGTAGGGATGGAAGCGACTGACACGGTAAGCACAGGCTTATCAGGTAGCCAAAAAAGCTAGTCACCTGCCCCCCTTGCGGCCTCTGATACAGAGGCAGCAAAGAGGGAGGGGAGCAGGAGCTGGGGGGGGTGGAGGAGCTGGCTTAAAAGCCAGTTTCCCCCAGCACCGTCTCCACAGAGGGGGTGTGGAGTGGCAGGGGAGGCAGAGGCACAGCGGGAAGTGGTGCAAGCAGGGACTAAAGCAGTCCCCGCTCGCGCCGGGTTCCCAACTGCTGCGTCTCTTATTACATTTAAAAGGCAGAGGCACAGCCTGCCTACATGGCCTGGTTTGTGGAATTGGAAGCATGTCAGAGAATACTACCACAGAGGTCCTGGATTTCATTCTCTTTCCTAGCAGCCTAAATTTGGCCTCCAGAACCTCTCTCCTATCCTTCCACTAACCGAGTAGCTGAGGGAAGTTCCATTGACTACTCAGTTTCACATCCCTAGACAGGACGACAGCGGATGGGGCCCACCTGCCACCCTGTGCCGGATCGGCCCCTTCCAACAAGGGACACCACGCCGTTCCCA